CGGAGATAGGGATTAGCTCTATCTAGTGGGCCCAACTGTGTAGGAACCTGAAGACGGAGATAGAGTCCCATCTCCGAAACGTCGTTTTATATTTACTAGACGATGGATAATATCCAAGGAAAAAGTCCGGAGATAGGGATTAGCTCTATCTAGTGGGCCCAACTGTGTAGGAACCTGAAGACGGAGATAAAGTCCCATCTCCGAAACGTCGTTTTACGTTTTATATTTACTAGACGATGGATAATATCCAAGGAAATTTTTATTCAATTGACTATAATTTTTAGTTAATTGTTGTTGACCCACCTGCAGCAGTGTATCTGTATGGCGCATGCGCACATCATCCGTGGGACTCGTGTTCATGAAGTACTGGAGGTCCAAGGCTGGAGACGCGTAGTTACACAGCTGATAGTCCACGAATAACATCGATTCAGGCTGTCCGGTTTTTGAGTACCTGAACAACATATTGTTCACCCACAAGTCTCCGTGGTTCAGCACGTTGAACGCGCTGTCGTCCCTCGCCGTCACTCTGCGTAGGCAACCCACTATGTCCTCAGCGTAAGCGCGGATCTTCCCCGCATACTGCGATGACTCTGGCCACGTTTCCACTTCATCCGCCGCGTTTCTAAGGAGACCTGAACGGGAGACCAAAACCTTTTTGTCTGAATTTCCTTGCTGTGATTTTTTAACCGTGTGAAAATGTTTTCTACTGATACGCCTAGTACACCGCGTTAAACCTCGCTGTGTCGGTGTGTGGCTTCAGATATAAATAAAGGAGACAATGCTGAGTATTTTCTTTTCATGTTGTACGGTTCGAATCTCAGATATCAGTTAGTGATTCATGGATTCACAATTTATGTGCGACTCGAACTGCAAAACTACGAATATTCAGTGCCGAAAGTTCATCGATAGCTCCTTGTTCCGACTCACGAAATTAAACTCAATGTCGTGCAATTACGACTGTACATTTGTACGACTAAGAAACCTGGGGTGGATATCGTGTAGTCAATTTACTTCGTTAAGAAGTAGGATTGTGCGTATAAAAGACTGTTACATTTAAGGAAAACATTTAGTGTAATAATTGATTCTTGGTATATTTAACGACGCCATTTCAACTACATAGTAAAGATGATAGCGAATGGTGATTTGTAAATATTCAGTAGGAAGCAGATATAACCTGCTTCTTAAGGAAATTTTTCAGTATTTTTCAGAAAATGTATTATTCATTTACGTAAATACACAGCCACAAAAACATGTACCTAGAGACCGGTTACCTTGACTCATACTTATATGATTTTACTGAGTTCTTTTCTTTATTTTTATTTTATTTAGTGTTCTGTGTGACGACAGGTCCATATGAACAGGATCCTTCCATCCTTTTCTCGGACTGGGACCTGTTCATATACGTTCTTGGCAGATGATCCAGAAGTGGTTTGCCATTGCCTTCTTCTGTGTGTGAATGGAGTAATTGTTGGGATGCCACGGAGAAACCGAGGAAGCCCCCGGAGGAAAACTCCGTGTTGCCTAGACCACGGACTTGCCCAACACAAGTTATAAATTCGGACACCGCCGGGAAAATAATTTCTTTCTCAGAGTTAATTGTTTGATTTTATAAATAAGTTAAACAGTCGTAATTTGCGCGGAACATTATAATTGTGTTAAAAAGCTGAGTTTAAAGGAGTCGATTTTTCGCTCAGTTGTGATAATAAGAGATCACTGAATGTTGACGTGGTAGTGACAATTGCCAGAGAACTTCAGACGTGCTGAAATTATCTGATGCAGAAACTGCGGCTGTGCGCGCGGAGACTTTAAAAATCCAGGGTTTGATCCTAATCGAACAGTTGATGAAAGGAATCGGTTGTGGGTTCGAGGCATCAGTCGCCCCTTTGATGCCTGGAGTCGACGTGGCGTGACGTTTATAGCTCTGTAAAATATACCGCGGTTTATTTTGCGTCCTTTCGTCATTCAAAACATCTTACCATTCGAGACTGTGTAACTAATGCAGTTCAAAGTGTCGTTAAAATAACACACACAGACCTGCGAATAGTTTAGAAAAGTTTCCGTTGTTATGTTCAATAAACAAATTTGTTTGGAAGTTCGCCATGGAGTCTGGGTCCTGCTGATGTATAAGTACGGATGTTGCATGAAATCTTCCGAGTTTTCTCATCACCAACAGGCAATGTGAGAGGTCCAGTCCCTTCTGTCGTTTTGCCATCTTAAATCCTAATGGCGACAGGTCCTCCATTATCAGCAGTCCTTCTCTGGAGAAAAAGAACTGAGGACCAAACGGCTCGAACTTTTCTGCGAAAAACAAATTCCGTGTCAATGCCCTACACTGAACAAATAATCGTGCCAGGGTAAAGGCCAAACGTATGAATCATTCTTGCAGTTACTCTATTGACTGCGCAGTTTCGACTAATCTGAAACTGATAGAGCACAGTTGCAATAACTCACGAACTGCCTTAGTTGGTAAACATTATTTAACAGCAGTTGTATTAAGCCAATTTGCCCAGTATCGAACCAATTGTTACATAACCCAAAAGCCAATTTGCCTAGTATCACACCAATTGTTACATAACCCTGAAGCTAATTTGCCCAGTATCGAACCTATTGTTACATAATCCTGAAGCTAATTTGCCCAGTATCGAACCTATTGTTACATAATCCTGAAGCTAATTTGCCCAGTATCGAACCTATTGTTACATAATCCTGAAGCTAATTTGCCCAGTATCGAACCTATTGTTACATAATCCTGAAGCTAATTTGCCCAGTATCGAACCTATTGTTACATAATCCTGAAGCTAATTTGCCCAGTATCGAACCTATTGTTACATAATCCTGAAGCTAATTTGCCCAGTATCGAACCTATTGTTACATAATCCTGAAGCTAATTTGCCCAGTATCGAACCTATTGTTACATAATCCTGAAGCTAATTTGCCCAGTATCGAACCTATTGTTACATAATCCTGAAGCTAATTTGCCCAGTATCGAACCTATTGTTACATAATCCTGAAGCTAATTTGCCCAGTATCGAACCTATTGTTACATAATCCTGAAGCTAATTTGCCCAGTATCGAACCTATTGTTACATAATCCTGAAGCTAATTTGCCCAGTATCGAACCTATTGTTACATAATCCTGAAGCTAATTTGCCCAGTATCGAACCTATTGTTACATAATCCTGAAGCTAATTTGCCCAGTATCGAACCTATTGTTACATAATCCTGAAGCTAATTTGCCCAGTATCGAACCTATTGTTACATAATCCTGAAGCTAATTTGCCCAGTATCGAACCTATTGTTACATAATCCTGAAGCTAATTTGCCCAGTATCGAACCTATTGTTACATAATCCTGAAGCTAATTTGCCCAGTATCGAACCTATTGTTACATAATCCTGAAGCTAATTTGCCCAGTATCGAACCTATTGTTACATAATCCTGAAGCTAATTTGCCCAGTATCGAACCTATTGTTACATAATCCTGAAGCTAATTTGCCCAGTATCGAACCTATTGTTACATAATCCTGAAGCTAATTTGCCCAGTATCGAACCTATTGTTACATAATCCTGAAGCTAATTTGCCCAGTATCGAACCTATTGTTACATAATCCTGAAGCTAATTTGCCCAGTATCGAACCTATTGTTACATAATCCTGAAGCTAATTTGCCCAGTATCGAACCTATTGTTACATAATCCTGAAGCTAATTTGCCCAGTATCGAACCTATTGTTACATAATCCTGAAGCTAATTTGCCCAGTATCGAACCTATTGTTACATAATCCTGAAGCTAATTTGCCCAGTATCGAACCTATTGTTACATAATCCTGAAGCTAATTTGCCCAGTATCGAACCTATTGTTACATAATCCTGAAGCTAATTTGCCCAGTATCGAACCTATTGTTACATAACCCTGAAGCTAATTTGGTTGGTATCACACTTGTCGTTGCGTGACCTAGGAAAGAACTTGCCTGGCATTGCATCTTGCAAAAGCGCTGTCATCTTCGGAAGCATAACAGACAACATAGTGGCCTCTCTTAAGTGGGCCGTGCTCTGGCGTAGCATGTCGCCAGATTTGCCCGCCTCCAGCAGATACTTGATGAGAACAGAGAACGTTTTGTTTCCCGTGGTTTCCACGGTTACTCTGTACATAGTGCTTGTGTAGTTGTCGCCCTTAGCAGTGGCCGTCTTTATATCGTAGTTACCAATGCTGAGCGTGTCGTCGTATCCAGCGCGTAGTGACGATTCCAAAAATGCCTTGTTCAGCCAGACGGGAGGTTCAAGTGTGGACATTGCGTTTCGTAATTTTGTTTTTGACAGAAATTGTGTCGCCAACTTTCAGCAGAGTGCTTCTGCTAAATTAAACATAATTAACATATTAATAGTCTTTAGCGACAGTTTTATGATTCGGACGTAAGGAAATTTATTTCGAATACACCTATTTTAGCTGGAATAGACTGCCTCGGGATATGATCCCTGACGAACTTTTGTAATCGTGAGGATGAACCTTCGGGTTACATAAAGCCACGAAACTCCAAGCTGATTAATCAAATGTTCAAGGACGCCTCTGTGTTGTTAACAGTGGTCTGCTTCTGGGAACAGTGTGCGCGTATATGCCTGTTTTTGTTTCCAACTCATAGCTTGAAGGTATTCAGACTCAACATCAGTGTTTAAAAGTATCGCTGTATTTCTAATTATCGGCTCTCATAATTTATTTTAAACTAAGTTCGTACTTTTTATATGAGTATGGTTAGTCTGGAGCAAATATCATCACCCTTTCTTCAACCCTGAAGATGAATACGATATGTTTCTCCAAAACTTTGGTATCTACCTTCGAGTCTACATGGCATTACAACCCAGAACAGCTTAAGCGCCGTGATAGAACATCAAATCTCACGTTTTAATTGTTATTCTTCTGTAGTAATTAGCCCGTAGCTGATTGGAATATCTAATAATATCTTGAAATATTTTTTTTTTTTACTTATAGACTTAGTCTGAGTTTTAATAATTTAGAACGAACTCCGTGGAACATAATCACGGAGCTGATTAAGAAAATGTCTTGTCTTTTATGGAACCCGAAGAGTTATTACCGTGTTCACAAGAGCTCGTCACTGAATTCAATTGTCTTCCAGATGATCCAGTCTACATCGTCACAATCTATAACCATTTCATATTTTTATATAATAAATGTGTAATTAAGTAACGATTCATAGGCCTATTAGTAAATACATTTTTTATCTCACATTTTTTAAAAAAAAAGCTGTCTTATAAGTAACAACGTTAAATAAATTAACAGAATAAAATGAAATCTATGAATGAGTTCTCAAAAAAACTTTGACAAGTAAATAATATATGTAACTGGTTATTTGAATAACACTGTGATTGTGCTGCAGAATCACCTTGACTGAAAGCAAATCTCGGTTGCACTGCACGCAGGAATGAGTTGTTGAAATTCTGGTCCGTTATATCAGGTTTTTATCTCACGAAACCAGCAAGTCATTGTGCAGAGTACTACGTAGAAATATCTTAATGAGTAGGCGATAGCTGACATTGCTTTTGCGAAGGTCGATTCAACGCTCACGTGGCTGTTTCCAGTTATACGGAATTCGTGACGTTTCTTACCCAAAAGATTTTGAAGATTACATAAGGATTTTGTGCTGTCCGTAATATAAATTATTACTCGTGTCCTGAAGAACACGAGTCATTATATACGAGGTGCGATCGGAAAGTTTCCAGACTGCGCGTATAAAAACCCGTACACTTATCTCAGGTATTAAATTCATCCATCACCCTCGAAGTAGTTCCCCTGGGAGTGAACACAACGATCCCAGCGCCGCTGCCAAGCCTGGAAGCATCCCTGGAAATCTTTCTTTGTCAGCCTGTCAAGCACCATCTGCGATTCTGCCTGAATCTCTTCTATCGTCTCAAATCTCCTTCCCTTTAGCTGAATTTTCATCTTTGGGAAGAGGAAGAAGTCACACGGCGAATAAGGAGGGTGCGGGATGACGGCCATGGTGTTTGAGGCCAAGGCCCTCTATTGACACAGTCTTGAAACTTTCCGATCGCACCTCGTATACTATAGGACTAGAAAACGTCTGTTTGTCATACCTGCCTTTACCATTTTTCTCTCCATGGTGAGCCAACACGTTTTTGCAACATAGATTTTACATGAATATAAGCTGAAACTGTTTGCATTTTATAATGAAGAGTCATATGCTTAAGAAAGTATATCAAAGGACGGTCTTAAATTAAACTAGATTTAATTTATATCGACTAAATATGTGAACACTTAAAAATTACTTAGTTTTTGAATTAATGCCCCAAAATGGTAGGACTGTTACATAAATGAATTCAGAACATGCAGAAACGTTGCAAATACTATTTATACAAGGTGACCGCTGGGGAGACCTAGACGTAGATTGGAGGATAATCTCAGGCGGGATCTATGGGAGATAGGAGTTGAAGGAGACTGGATTTTGTTGGCCCAGGACAGGGTCCGGTGGAGGGCTTTAATAAATATGTGAACACTTAAAAATTACTTAGTTTCTGAATTAATGCCCAAAAAGGTAGGACTGTTACATAAATGAATGCAGAAACGTTGCAAATACTCTTTATGTAAGGTGGTCAGGTGCTTCATCAGGGCAAAGAGTGCCCTGCATCTTTTAAACGTTGGTGGACTTCTGACCAGAATGAACTGCGCAACATTGACATCTTTGGTCATTGCCTTGTCACGATTACCTGCTTCAAGATTACTGTTTCATGGTGTGTTTGGAGGACTGTGTATTTACCATATCATCCAACTTTATACGCCTAAAGTGTAACTGAAACAGATGATTGCCGTATTCTGGGTTGTTGCGCCCTGTAGTCTGGTAGAAGTTTTCCACCGTTTCAGAGCTAATTGCTGCCTTCATCATCAGGGCTTTGGTTTAATATCAGATTCTGTCCGATAGTATGTAGTTAACCCTTTAAAGGAAGTGGAGGTGTGGTAACTATACGTACCACCTGCTTTAACAGTTAGTAACTCTGCAGTTTGTATCTATAAATTTTAATATAATTGTTGATTATTTCCGTGAAGAACGTTAATCAGTTTACTTTAATTTTGGTGAGTGTTATTTTTCTTTGAGGTACGGACTGAATTTCTAAATATCGTTTAGAGTAGGTTTTAACTTTAAAGGGTTAATTTTTATTTGGTCGGTTCGTGGGTTCGTGCATAATTCTCAATGCATTAAATAAAACAAGCTTTAGAACGATGTTACAACCAACCAGTATTTTTATTTGTTTCGTGGTTCTTAAGACATGTGTTGTGATATATTCAACGTAACATTCCGCCATCGATGTACTTATTTACATATAGCGTGTTTGGGATTTTGAGGTGCGTCGTTAGAGCTGACTGCCCAATTTTAGAATTGAGCTCTTCCAGGACTGAAGCAAGGTCAGTTGTCTGCGTCTAAATAGTGGCGTATTTCAGTCTTTCATGAGGTAACATTAGTAATTCAAGATCGAAATGCGCCCTTCTCCTCAAATATAGGCAGCATTCTCTGCAGTGCCGTCTTGTATATGTCTCCATTATATGCGTCACACTGCTGTCCACCCCGCGATTCGAAAGCTGCGTCCAGATCTACTCCGGTTTCTGCTAAAACAACTGGCAGTACACAACAGGCTCCAAATACTCCGTACAGGACTTTGTTGTCGTACTCCTTCCACAGGTCTTCGAGAGTGATGCGCTTATGTGAGTACCCCAGGGCATCCAGAGTGTCACACAGAGTGCTGTGGTATTCCTGTAACACAATGTTGGTAATGCTGTAGCATTCTATTCTATCCTCGTTGGAGGACACCATCATTCATAATATTTATGATACACCAGAACCCTGAATTTTTGTGTCCTCCAGTTTGGACGATGCCGACACAAACTTTCAAAGCGCTTTCGTTTTCGAAAGAAAAAAAAATTCGTTAGCATTACTGACGATATATATCGTCCATATAATTGAAATAGTTAAATTACACATGAAACGCACCTTCATGAGGTCTTCCAAATGTTCCGCTCGCACGTCTTCGCATGGACTCGTGTTGAAGAAGTATTGCAAGTCAATGGCTGGGCTGGAGAAATGAAGAAATTGGAAGTCAAGAAACCGAATTTCGTCAGGGTCCCCGGAGCTCCGGTACCGGAAGAGCATGTTGTTGACCCAGAGGTCACCGTGTATGAGAACGTTGAAGGCGCTGTTGTCCCGCGAAACTGCCTGAATGATGCGGTCCATCAGGCTGTCCGCTAGGGCGCTCAGCTTGTCCGCGTACCGTTCTGCATAGCCCGGCCAAGTCTGCACGGCCGTTGCCACGGACCGCAATGATCCTGCAAGGTTACTTGTGTTTGTTTATCGTGCAAGGAAATGGGTAACGTATACTGTTTAAGGTGTTCGGAGTGATAAGGAAATATAAGTCAATGGTACCATGTTGTGAGTGCGCCTGTAATATCATTAGAAAAGATTTTGACAGAACTTTGTTTGTCTGTAGACGTTCCTTGTCGCCATGAAAACCTCAAATCCTACAAAACTTTACCTGCTTACGTCGATCCACTCCCATTCGTCCATACCAAGGACATGTCGTTCGTGAGCTAGTTATTCAAAGTGAACTCATTAGAACTGCGAACGTAGATCACACCTGTTTCTCTAGCAAGGTCTGCAAAGGAGTCGCCTCTCGTGTCGATCGAGAGACCAGCCTTTTTTTTTTTTGCATAGTTGGTTTATCATTTGTAACTAAGGTACTGAAAATAACCTATAAACGTTGAAGTCGCCTGACACCGCGATCCTAAATCAGTAATAAGAAATTTGCCTCTACCAATTTTCAAATAGGGGTGACGCTACTAACTAATTAAGTGTCAATTTCTAGAGGAAAATAGATCTGTCAATGTATACCTGGAAGTACGGTATGTCAGTTTTGGACCTAACAAATTAGTATCAGCTTGTCGGCATCATTCAGTCTATGATACGTACCAGAAACAAAGTTTTGAAAGCCTTTCCGTGCCGCGGGTTCAGAAAAGAAATTCTGATTGTAGAGGGACATAGATTCTGGGTCTCGGTCGTGAAGAACAACCGAGGCTGCGTGGAACCTGGCGAGCGTGTGCATGACGAGTAAGCAGTGGGAGTAGTCGAGTCCTTGGCGACGCTGTGCCATCTTGAAGCCTTCAGCACACAGGTCCTGCACCACTATGGTTCCCGGACATGAGTAGTAGTAGCTCGCTGTTAGCTGTGCACATTTCCCTGCATCAACAGAACCAAATTTATCTAAACATGCCAATAGGTAATGGTGACTTCAAGCATCGCGGTAAGGGGAGTGATATGAAGTATGAAGATTTCCGTCTTCTGGGTTGTTGCGCCACGGAGTCTGGTCGATGAATCGCCGTGATGAAGGAGGCAGTATGACCTCTGAAACGTTGGTAAACATCGACCAGACTACACAGCGCAACAACCCAGAAGACAGAAATCTTCACACTAACCGCTCTGAAAACCTCAAATCTTACATAATATGAAGTACCTTTGTGGCCTTGAAGCATACAGTTTTGTGATGGCTCCTGTAATATTTGCGCTATCTACTACAAACCTGGCATAGTCTCCTGAAGAATGCTGGCGAGTTTCGACGCTACGGTTCTGTACATCAGCGTCTCCCTTTTAAAGACCGTGGATTTCCGCATCATTTGGCCGAATTCGCCGCCGGCACACAGTTCCCTCTTAACGATCAAACTGAAGACATTGCGATCCGCTGTGTAAATCTTTACACGGTATAGGTCGCTAGCGTAGTTGTCTCCCTTATCGACCGCCGGCTTGACGTCATACTTAGTTATGGTTAGTGTTGGAGTTTTGTTGCCAGATTGCAAAACTTTCTCCAGAAAGTCCATGTTCAGCCATGGCGTTGATGTTGTCTGAAGAGGGCAGTTGTCTGGTTCCGAAATCATGTCTCACCTAGGTGGAGAGCATACTCATATATAATTTTAAATTCGCTCATAAATATAATGTAGACTACAAACTAAATGAAGCAGTGTTTTTTGAGAAGCGGATTAACAAATCCCTCCAATTTTTGTAAATCCCGAAGTTGATTGCTGTGCTCACTGCATCCCGCCTCTGAACCCTGTACTGAACTGGATTAATCCTGCCAACACTCTCATTCCCTATTTCTGTTAGATCCATTTTAATATTATCGTTTCATCTGCACCTAGTTTCTCAAGAGGTCCCTCCTCCGAATTCATTGTTTGATGAATGCGTTTTCTCCATCGTGCTACTGTACATATGCACTTAGGGATATAATTAACGAACTCCATGGGGCAGAGTCCTCTAGAAGCTAATGTAATAGTACGCTCAGCTAGTCAAAGAAGACTCACCGTGGTCACAAGAGCCCGCCACCATCCCCTGTTCTGGGTCAGATGAATCCAATTCACACCCCAGATACTATTTCCTTAATATCGACTTTAATAACATATTTCTGCTTCTGAGCGATCT